GACTGAGTGATTTAGTAGGGTCTTCCTCCTTGTTTTTCTAATGAAGGAATTTTAGTTTAGGGTAAGTGTAAAAATGCCTTGGTATGTAGCACTCTGATTTAAGCCATATAATTCTGATGGGCATATTGATTTGTAAGAATTAAATAAGAATTATTTAAGAGTTAGTAGAACTTCGGAAGTTTCAAATTTATGTGATATTTACTTGTTGCAAATTGTTGGTATTTAAGTATTTTGCATAGAGTATATAGGACCTAAGTGTGCTTTTAAATACTGAAGATACCATCCACATGATTTCAGAATCTGGCTAAGAGAATTCCGTAGGTCATTTTACTGTGTAATTCTTTTTCCCAGGTTTTTTTTTTTTTTTTTGCATTTTAAATGTTTGCATTTTTCCTGTAATCTTATGCATCAGTGACACATATGTGCTGGCATCAGCTGGAATAACATTCATTCCACATGAGAAAGACTAGACTCAAAGAACCTAGCTGACCAAAGAGTTTATTCAACAGAAATCTAAAGCTGATATGTTCACACTTTCTCATCTGAACCAAAATGGAATAAAGCAAAAAGTCGCTGTAGGAAACTTGCTGGTTTCTCTGCACTGAATAAACAGCATTTAGGTAAATGTGTTATTTTGGTCCTGTAGATAGTAGACAATATGCTGAAATATACTGTATGTGTGCATGTGTATATACATGTATGTTTGTCTGTTTGTGTTTGCATGTAGAGATGGAGTCTCATTATATGGCACTTGATGAACTTGAATGCTTAGGATCAAATAATCCTCCCACCTCAGCTTTCTGAGTAACTGGGACTTCAGGCATGTATTACTGCATCCCACTGGAAAAGACCTTCTTCCTGTAAATCTTAAATGGAATAATTATACAAAATCTGATTATAGTATGTCTGTTCTTAATAATAGTTGCAAATAATACTAGTTAATAATAGTTTCAAATAATTTATTTTACTTCTAGATGGCCTTATTTTTGTTTCATTGTAACGTGGAAATTAAAATACACTAGACGTTATTACTCTTAGCCTCCCTAATGCCATAAACCAGTGGTGATGAACCTATGGCACATGTGCCACGGGGGGATGTTCACTATCATTGAAAGCCCTAAAAGATTCATTATCACTGCTATAAACTATGCTACAGTGTATTATACTTAGCTTTGCTCCCAGAGTTCATTGTTTGGGCAAAGAAAGTGGCCTTTTCTGATGGGAATGAGAAGACTTGAATTTTCATTTATGTTTTTCTACTAAATACTTATATGATTTTGTAAATCATCATTAAAATCTCAGAAAAGTTGGTTTGTGTCAGTATTAGTGTATCTTTAAAACAAATGTATAATGATTTGGGGAAATCAATTTTTGCTTTACTTATCACACTTATGTAACCTACTTGGTGTCTCCCAATGTCATGATATGCTGTGTGTATTCAAAAGAAATATTCCTAGATGGAGATCACATTCTGCAGTTGGGGGTAGCAAACATAAAGAATACTTTGAGAACAGATAGGTACACATCCGACTTACAAGGATGGCTCAATCCAGCTGAGAACTGAAGACTAATGAAGAGCTATATAGGCAAATAAAAGAATTAAACTTAAAATTAAATTCCAGACAGACAAGTCACCAGGAACAGATGCACAGAGAGAATGAGAGCCCAGCACTGCAGAAAACTGCATACAGTATAGCTACAGCATTGGAGGACAAGTAAGAAAGCTAATCTGAGCTTGTAAATAGGGGACAGGTGAAAAACATCTATGAGGTATGATAAATAATTATGGTGAATGTTTACATTTTAAAAAGTTTACTACCATAAAGTGCATTGCTACTCCTTTCCCTTAGACTCCTCTCTTTCACATCAGAAACACTTCATGTCATTATTCTTGGCTGTTTCTGAAGCAGCTCTGGAAGTCTTCCTTCATGAGTGTCTTCAGTAGCTCTATCCTAGCTGCCTCAAAACCTGAATCCATTCAGGTGTTTACTTTTCATGGTTATCTTTGGGGAAGAGATAGAAGTGGCACCATGGTGCTCATCTGGTGGAGAAAGTGGATCAGGACATATTGTACCCTGATGATTCTATTTGTCATAAATGACAATTCATCAAATTGTCTAATTAATGGGGTGATCTGAAGTATCATGACTTAGTACCACTATCTCACTTTAAATATTCTTTCTCACTTAGCTCCTCATTTCTTCTATTGTAATAAGTTATTTTTAAGTTAAAACATTCACAGTATCTTTTATTCTCCATTTGTATGTGGACACAGGCTGGGAATACACACATCAATCCTTTGAATGATCCTAACAAAGAAAGTAGCATTAATCATATTTCCCACTGTCTTTGTCTTTCAGGTAATGGCAAATTCCATCCTTGTAGTTGATCAAGACAAAGCCCTGGCATTCTTTTCTAGCTCTTGTTTATCTCTCACACAATGCACACAGCATAAGACAGTTATTTCAGCACCATCTTCACTTAGTGCTCACATAGACCACTTCAGAGTGCTCTTGTCCTCTCTTGGCTGTCATGTAGCAGTAAACAGTCCCATGAAGGCTCTAACCAGCATGGTGAAGCTGGACTGGCCATTATCTTCCCTCTTGGCCCCTGCCATACACTACCTTCAAGGCAGCCTGGGGGACATTTACAGGTGTACGTTGTGGCCCTCATGACCTAGAAGGTGAGACAGAGATCTGCCTGGGAACTAGACCAGGACAGAGGTGGATAAGAGCTGATGGTTACTCACTTCTCTTTTCTCTGTAGTTTGGATGTACTTAGACTCGCTTTAACATACCTCTATTAAGAATGAACTAGATAATATCTTAGTCACAGTAATTACTTCTCAATTTCTTACCCCCAAGTCATGCATTCCAAACGAACTATTGTTGTGAAAGCAGCTGTCTTTGGCTCTGCTTTTCTAGGAAACCTAGGTTAAAATAATATCCTCAAAATATATCTCAAGCCAGACCATTTCTCATCACCACCACCATTACTGCTTATGTCTATACCACAGTCAGTACTTACCCTAGTTACTGCTGTCATCTCCTGACAGGCTCTCTACTTTTGCTTTTGCTGTATGTGCTCTAATCACAGGGAGCAGGATGAAAGTTTTCAGCAAGGCTCCCATGTGATCACTTCTTTACTTCTCTCCGATTTCATCCCTACTTCCGTTCATCTTGCTCTTGGAAATGCCAAGTGATTTCTACCTCAAGGCTCTTGGTTGATATTCCTCCACTTTTTCTTATAGTCCATTCCCTTCCTCATCTCTCCCTCTTCAGAGGTCACTCTTACAGTGAGGAAATTCTAATCATCCCCTTAAAAATCAATCACTTGCAAGAATGAATCTTATCCTCCTTCCCTGTTCTGTTTTCCTCCAAGGCAGTTAGCAGATTTTATGTATTACCCAGGCATTTTGTTTACTGTCTCTTATTTGCCAATGGCTAAGCTCTGTGACTACATGGAATCGTGTCTGTGTCTTTCCATTGCTGTATCCTTGGGCCTAGAATGGAGATGGGTGTCTGAAAATTGCCCAGTAAACAATTGCTAAGCAAATGAGTAAAGGCACAGTTTAGGAAATGTAATTCTGGCTTAGATGTGGAGATCGTTACAGGTAGGCAACCAGGCTGAAAAACAGACCGGAAGGCTATTTATAGTCATAAGAAAGGATGAAGGCCTCATTTAGTACCTTAAGATAATCAATGGAAAGATGAGACAGCATTACAGAAAAATATAGATGTTTAAAGATTATTTAAGTATGTTGTAGATGGCTTACCTATAATAAGTATGAAAGGGAGATCTAGGAAGACTGAAGGTTTTGGCTTTGACAGCTGAGTAGGTGGCGGTTATTTTCATCTAAGTGAATGCTGAAGAATGATTTACAAAGGGATAGGATGGAGAGGCTTCAGGGAGGGGAGCCAGTGACTTAAGATATGACTTTGAAAGATCAGTCCAACTTCATGTCAGGTGGCAGAGGCTAAGCTCAATTCTCAGGTGCAATGTAGACATTCTAGTGGGGAAAGGTCAGTTCTGTGTGGGCTGGTGGTGTACTCAGAGTTTACAGGGGAAAAGGTACATAATTTATAGGATTATTTTATCACATTCACTAAAGGAATCAAATGTAGAATAGTGCCAGAGGTCTGTTCACACACTAGAGACCCAAAGAATCCAGCTGAGGGCATGGATCCCACAGCACTGTCCTCCATGAATCCAGCTGAAGACACAGAGCTTTTGGCAAGGTCCTCCATCAGTCCAGCTGGGAGCCGAGAGCCCAGAACAATGGCTCATGCAAGTCTGTGTCAAGAATCTGCTCTGGGAAGGGCAAATGTCAGCGGTGGAAGTTAGAAAGTCCGCATTAGTGGAATGAAGGACCTGTGCCAGCAGACCTAGGGATCCGCCCTGGAGACAGGAAGTGACACTCCAGAAGCAGAGCTTCCCCCCAAAAAACCACAGCCATCTTCAGTGATAGAAAAGACCCAAGCTCCTCTGATGATAACAGCTGAGTTTATGTCAGCAAAGCCAGCATGACAAACTTCCCCAGGAGGATCAACAGCACACCCTCTTCCCCGCCAGGTGTCCTGTTATGCTGTCAGCAGCAGCAGTCCTCAGGGGGGCCTTCCTCAGCCTGAACCATGCTGATTCAGTTCAGCTGGGTGTTCCAAGTTGCCTACCAGTTAATCCACCTCAGCTGGCGATGGGAAGGGAGTGGGTCCTTGAGGTAGTCTAGTTGCCTATCAAAACCCCAAACAAGGGAAGTCACACTTTACTCTCTGCATTCCTGCTCTGGCATAGAAATTCTTAACTGTTATCTCTAGTTATCTCCTAAATTATTTGAAAAATAGAGAAGACTGTGAGAAAAAGAAACAATACTTCTTCATTCATTTTTGTTGGCACATTTTAAAAGTATAAAGAAGGCATTTATCTGAAGATGAAGTGTCTACTTCTAGAGAATTTACCTTGGGCTTGTCCTGCTAGCTTCAAACTCTGTTTTGCTTCCACAGCCATCTTCATTTATTGGAAACATATTGAAGAACTTTTTCTCCCTCTAGTCACCAGAAATGAGTAAGTTCTTTAACACTGAAAATACATATAATGAAAAACATCTACATGTTTTAAGGAGAATTTTTGGCTTACGTGTATCTGCTTAGTCATATAAAATCTTTAATGATTGCATTCTTCATAAACACATTTTTCATGTATTTTGAAGCTTAGGTTTTTGCCAAAGCTTTTGTACCATCGGTGATTTTTATTACCATATTTAGCAGAGGAGAGCCATGTGTCTCGAATTTGTCTTCAATCTAGAAATTTATTCTTTAAAGAATTTTATTTCTCAAGGGGGCACTATTTTTTGAAATGTTATTTTATAGAATCTCTGGGCCAAAAGGGAATAGAGATGGGAAAATACTGCCTGAGAAAATTTAAAGAAAGCAAATTACCCTGACCGGCGACTATCTCTTATTTGGTGAGCATATTCTTTGATTTGTTACTTAAATTTAATTCTTGCTTTTTAATTTCATAATAACACTTCACAGTATGTCATGATCTTAATGATCGTCTAGTTTTAGCTTACATTGGACTCTCATTGAGGTTTGGAAGCATCCAAATTATATTACCAATAGAGTGTAGATTCTAAATATGTATATGGATTCTAAGCTACATTCCTGGCTGTGAAATGTCAACTGTTGATTTTTTGAATGGAACAAATTATGAGATTAATAATTCAAATTCCTTACTAGTTCAGACATAACTAAATGAATTTGAATATTTAAAAAAATAAACCTGGTTATTTAACAAACTTTGTAAACTTAAAATAAGCATATAGGTTTCTTCAGAGAAACAGTAACTATTAAGATTCTCTTAATAGTCAGTAGGGTGTGTGAGTGTGAGTAAATATGTAAAGAGGTGCATTATAATGAGTTGGTTTCTAAGGTAGCCAACTGGAGACCAGAAAATCTGATAATGTTTCTAGTCCTGAAGTGTTGAAATCAGGAAGAGTTGAGGTTTCAGTTTGATTCTGAAGGCAGGAAAAAAAGTTATATTCCAGCTGGAAGCAGGCGGGCAGGAGTCTCTTACTCAGAGGAGGTCAGTCCACCTTTGTGTTCTGTTTCAGCCTGCAGCTGATTACTCGGAGGCTCCCTGCTCTACTGGGTCTGCTCATTTAAAGGTTCATCTCTGCCAGTAACACTGTCATATAAACCCCTGGATAATATCTTATTCTTACTTATCTTTGTTTAATGGGCCTTAAACTGTGATAGATTTTGTCATTAGACTATTTCCATTAAAAATTACTGATTTTAAAAACTAAAAACTATCACGCACACACACACAAACAAGTGGTTCACAAAGTAGTCTGTTCTTCTGGCTTTAGGATACACTGTGACCATGAAACAGACTCATCCATATAGCCAGGTGAGATAAACCATTTTGAAGCCTTTCTCATCACTGATTAAGGCTTAAAACACTTACAAAGAGTGTGAGCTATGTACCACTTCAGGACAAGAGCAGCAGCTAGCACTGAGCAGCCTGAGAAGTGAAGCCAGCTAGTTCCACTAATGAGTCATTTCACTGTAACCAATTGCCAAGGTGAACATTTTTGAGAGATACATTCTGACACTGAAGCCCACCTTGTCCCTAGGAAGATGTCCTCTAGTTCTCTCCAGGCTTCATGATTTATTTCGGCAGGCTCTTCAGCTGTGACACTGACTAGAGTGCATACATGACCACTGTTCTGGGTTTGAGAAGCCCACAGGCACGTCTCTAATGACACAGGTTTTGTAGGTCCCAGGGTGGAGCAGGCATAAGGATTTGTTAGTTGGATGAATTGGTGATAGCATATGATGCACAATGTCAGGCATGGTGTTTCTTTTGAGAGTATTTCAGCCAGTAATTGGCACACATGCTGCTGTGTGGGGTGACAGCTGCTTATCTTCACATAAGCACTGCCTTGCTCAATGATTTCTTCAGGCCTCTTCCTGCAGTGAGGAGGCTTCATGGAATCCATTTTGTTAAAATCCATGGTTAGTATATGAGCCAGAAGGGTGTGCTCACGAGACCTGGTGGTTCTTGATGATACTTAGCTTCACCATTGTGAACACCAGCAACAGGAATCAGAATAGCACAGTTGGCTGGAATGTGTCTAGAATCACGTTTTTAATAGTGTGTTTGTGTCCTGGGCCACCGGTGATAATCACATAATACTTGCTGGTCTCAAGTTCCCATGGGGCATGTCAGTGAGAATACCTGCTGATGCTGTTTTTAGTTTACTTGAGACTCAGAAATAGTCTCATCTCAGCATCTCCTTTTTAATGTTTTCTGTGATTATAATCACCTCAGGTGTCTTAATGATACTTTTAACAGTGGCGATTACATTCAGCATGAATTTTGAAGGCAACATTCAAATCACAGTAGTCTGCTTTGAAAAATGCTATGTCAGTGGATACTGAAACAAAAAGGTTTTTGTTGGTGTTGTTTAGCATTGTGCATGGAATGGCATTATTTTATTCTTGTATTATATTGGTGGCCAACTGTTTTTGTTTTCTGAATCCAGGCACTGTAAAATACTTCTGTGTTTACTAGTGATGGCAGGTAAACACAGTTACTAAAAATGTTCTTTCTTTCACTGCAACCTTGCCAACATTTGTTATTATTTGATTTCTGGATGATAAACATTCTTTCTGGAATAAGATAGATGGAATCTTAGTGTGATTTTAATTTGCATTTCTCTAATGGACAGAGATGTTGAACATCTTTTCATGCATTTATTGACCATTTATATTTCTTCTGAGAAGTATCTATTCATTTCAATTTTCCCTTTCTTATTGGATCTTTTATTTGGGTGGAGGTCATAACTTTTTGAGCCCTCTGTATATCCTAAATATTTGTCCTCAGTCTGGCATGTAGCTGGCAAAATTTTTCCCATTCTGTAGGTAGTCCCTTCACTCTGTTAGTAGTTTCCTTTGCTATGCAGAAGCTTTTTAATTTAATGTTTCATTTGTTGATTCTTGCTGTCATTGTGTGTGCAATTGAAATTCTGTCCAGAGAGTCCTACCTACACATGGCTTCAGGAATTTGATCTATTTTATATTTTTCAGTGGGCTAAGTGTTTCTGTTTTAGTATTTAAACCATTGGTCCATTTTGGGTTATTATTTGATTTGACAGGTTGGTTCATTTCCTAGGCTGACCATGGGAGTTGGTAATCTTCTTCCTTTTGGCAGATGGCAAATCATCAAGTCTGTGACATCAACAGAAATTTATCTGTGTGGTGTTGTCCTTTGATTGCTGTTTAGCGACCATATAAAAGGCAATACTATGCTTAATTATTTCTTTGAAGTCTCAAATCCAGTGTGGAAAACCTTTTATTTTATAAAAAGGCTTTGTGGCACTTTCATAATGTTAAGATTTGCCTTGTTGATTTAAATCAAAATCATTTCCTCCCAACATCATAACCATTTTACTGTTCAGTGATGCAGAAGGTATATAAAGAGTTAGTAAAATATTTTGGTTAATTCAGATTGGAGGAATTGTTCAAAAGAAAGCATAGCTAAAATAGGTGGCACTCTTGAAAACAGCCTTTAAAGGAATGGAGAGGTTTTTAGTGTACTGGTAAGATGAGGCATTAAGATAAATATCCAGTACAAAATCACATTTTCACAGTTACACTTCTTCATGCCTGATCCACTTTGGAGTCTTACTGCTTTCTCTCTCAGCTTTTAAAGAAAGGAAACAACTTCTTTTAATGTCTAATGAATATTTATGCAGTCCCTTGACAATTAAGGGCTCATTAAAATTCACTTCAGAATAGAAATAAAAACCAAATTAAAGACCAAAAGAGAAAGTAATGCTAAGTAGAAACTCAACTTCCTTTCCTGTTTATAAATTGTCAAGTCAGAAACACTGCAAATGAACTTTTAAAAATGATTCTAGGAGGGAGTTTGACTATAATAACAGACATATTTTATTATTGCTGTTTAATTTTACATTGATCTTTGGACTTGATGAATTTTTTTCTTTTGAAGGTACTTAGAAAGTTTACTTTTGTATCAGCGATTAAAAGTTCAAATTTTGGAGTCAGACTTTTCACTTTCATGAATCGTAATGCTTCCGGGAACTTGTTTCTTGAACAAGTTCTTGGTGTTTCAATCTCTGTATTGCAAGATGGAAAATATAATGCTATATAGCCCACAAATTGTTGGAGGAAGAAACGGAGCTAATATATGAACAGTCCTTGGTGCGGAGCCTGGGCGCACTGGCTTCTGCCTCTTGAGAAGCCTTTCGTCTTAGTTCACACACTTTGACTCTTGCTGGAGCTGTTCGGAAAAGTCTTTGTGTTCCTTTTGCTGGGGGGGGGGCGGTGAGGAATAGTTCTTGACTCTCTCCTCTGATGAGTAGAATTTATTTTCCTCCTCCATTTCAGTTTTGCAGTTTTTCTTCCTAAGACCTAACAGCTGCCCCTCTTACTGCTTCCAGCTACGTTGGACTACAGCGCTTCTCTTGGTTCAAGATGATACATGTAGATAATATAAGGATGGCAAATTGTGTATTCCATCACTTTGTAAAGTGCATTTCTCTGATGAGAATGGTACTTTGAAGGGACAGCAGTTTTACCCTTTTTGCTACTCCCCCGTGTCATTCAGATAAAGACACATGGACCTGAGACCAGAAAGTGGCCTAGAAAAGTCAAATGGCTGCCCACTATTATTTTCAATATGAAATAGGAGTATTTGTCAGGGTGAAGTAACAAGACATGTATCCATATATTTATGAGATTTTTCATGAGGCTTTGCATTTTCAAAAATAAGCACTGAAAACTAAAATTTTGTAGTTATTTTGATAAATGTGTTATCTAAAGAGTATGTATATTTTACAAAATAGGTCATAAAATTGAATTTTTTCTTGTAAAGTGATGAGTAGCTGTTATTTAACCCAAACTTTGTCTTTAAGATATGCCTCATAAATTTAATAATCAGTCATAGTTTCTGCTGTAGTTTTTATTATTTTCACCATTTGCTCTAGTCAGAGTCTTTATACAAAGTGTTGGATCTATTTCTTGGCAACTAAACAA